AAAAAAAAAAAAAAAAATTCATCCCAAGTCATTCTACACATAATTTACTCGATTCAAACTCCCTTTCTCTGCATACACGTACTCAACATGTAATAGGCAAATAAGAAAGAAACCACATAGCCAACTCCCCATTTTTTTATTCCCTTTTTTTTCTCTATATATGAGTCAGTTTTTCTAAATGAGAGTCGTTAGGACGATTATTAACTAGGTTTATCCTCGGGGTTTGCCCACAAGTCTCCTAAGCAGGTTTCCTGTGCTCATTAACTCGATTTATCTAGAAGACTAACCGAGCCAAGCGGAGCCGAATCCTTTCAACTCCCACGAGCTCATTTTATTCATCATTTTTTTTCGTGAGCTTCTTTTTTCAAACAAAGTTTCCGGACGATAATTATCTAAGTTTATCCTCGAGGGGTTTCCTCTAGTTTCTTAGACTGGTTGCCCGGGCTCATTATCACATGTACTTCCTCGCGAACTCACATTTTATTTATTTATTATTTTTTTCGAATAGAGTGACACACAAGGATACATCACTATACAATACATGAACATCACCAATCAATCAAAACGTACCACAAGTGTATAGCATAACACGATTACAACGATCGAACACACGGCAAGAATGTTTCAAGATCATCAATCGAGAACAAACAAGGGACAAAACAATTCCGTGAATTCAAATGTGGGTTCAATGTCAACAAATCGTCATTTAATTTTAAGGAAACCGTCCAATTCATCAAGTACATAAAGCACAAAAATTAACAATGAAACCGAACGACAATCTTAACTCACCACATAGTCATTTTAGCTTTTTAAACAAATATCATGTTTCATGTGGGGAAATTGACACAAACTCACAAAACCTCAAATAAAACCGGTCCACGACACGACAAACAGGAAAAATAAAGCACCTAAACAAAAGAAATACCGCCTAAGCATGCATGATCGTGAAAATCCATCCCTCACACTTACAACAAAGCAATGTTCTCATTGTTTGACCAACAAGCATAAGATAGAGTACATAATCACACAAACTCATGCGATAAACAAAACGAAACACAATAAAGGAACATACGAAAAGAAACCAAACATAAAAACACACAAGAAACAACTAAGAGAACTGAAAAATAAGAAGAAAAAAAAAGTGTACTCTATACGGTGGTGTTCCACCGTGTGGCCAATGGTGTTCGTCCGGTGGGAATAGAGCAAATGATCCGAAGGTCCTCGAGCGCAAAATAAAACCATCCGAACGGTTGTACAATGAAAGCATATCGATCCATAAGCCATCCAGACACTTAGACATTAAAAAGAATAAGAGAAGTCGAGAATTCCGACTCCGAGTAAGGGCCACATGTATGCATCTCGGAGATAATAACTGTGAATCCACAAACTCGACGAAGACACACGTATACTTGAAAGCTCAAAAATCGGGCCTCAAGACCTTCAATTATACTCGCCATAAACCATGACAAGTCTAACTCCTCTTTTGGTTCATTACCACGAATCGATTCCTGGCACTTGCAGAACATACCAAC